TGACTGGCCACGTCAAGCACTGGTAGCATAGGTGGGAATGAATATGCTTTGATGAGATGTTCCTTTGAATGACAAACTACTGAAATTTTTCTTGATTTGTAAAACCAGAAAACCAAAGAATGCTGAGCTCGTTGGTTCTGCAACGTCTTATACAGTGAAGAATACCCAAGCATGTTTTTTATGTTCTCCTATTTTCATCTTTGATGAGCCTACATTTTATTGTAAGACTGTTCTCGGTAGTTTTTTTTTTTAACTACTGCTAACGAAGACACGCATAGACACCCACTGAATTCTCCATTTCGTCACGGCGAATAATTACTCCTCTTCGTCGCTCCACAAATAGGCATAAACAAGACGAGAGATAAGAAAATGAACTTGAGAAGCTACAAAACGCTGGTGCCTGGACTCCATCAACAGCGGGGAGTCTATGGGGGTTGTGACAGGCCACCGGTCTGCTATGGCACAGACTTGTTTCGCGAATTACCTTCGGTCTCCAGGGAGAGGTCATGCGGTTCATTTATTTAGTAGCGGTTCACATCAGGGTGGAAATTACAAATTAGGGATCTGACCTCGGAGTTTGGTTCTTCTTCTTCTTCTGTTTCTTCTTCTTCTTCTTCCTTTTTCTTCTTTTCTTCTTCTTCTTTTTCCTTTTATCTCCGAAACGGACATAGGCCCTCAACCAACTCACGGGCAAGTCGTTCTACCCTTTACTGTTGCATGCAGCTCATTCCATATCCTCTGAATCTGTTTAACTTGACTCGTTAGCTCCCTTTCCCACTGGTTTCTAGTCTGCCTTTTTTTTTGAATGGCCATGTGGGTTCTAATGCAAAGACATTACAGTTATACAGTTTCCAGACTTACTCAACGTGTGTCCTATCCAACCCCACAGGTTTTTTCTTCACCTCTTGGTCCACTAAAACTTGGTTGGTTGTCTCCCAAAGCACAGTTTTAGTGATTCTAGCATAGCATTCAATTCCCTTTGGTAATCTTGGTAGTCTTAGTTTCAGCTTCATAGCAAACGAGTCACCCCATAGTTGCCCGTCCCTGTGCCAACGAAAAACACACATAATGTTCGTCGCAGTGCCTTGTGGAAAGATTGACAGACTGCTGTCTCAGCATATGCACTAGCATACAGACGCATTAAAAGCATACAGTAGCAATCAGAAGTGCTAACACAAGTAGTCCGACATTAGAAATGCAGTTCATCATCGACGGTAGCAGAAGTTGTCAACAGATCAGCAGTTGCACACGTGATCAATTTGAATCACATAAGGGCACCACCAATATTGCGACGACAGGTCACACGGGATTTTCTGAAATTTAATATCCTTTATTCTGCGATAGCAAAAGTTCATGAAGGTTTATAGTTTATTAGTAATTGTTTTGGTCCTCCGTGTGTCCGCTTCAAACGACAGTAACGTTTTAGAATTAGAATTTTGAAGGAAATAATAGTTGAATACTATTTCTCTTGACCTCCACAAATCTCCTAGTGCTACGAAAGCTCCTTTTGCCTTTTGTATTCGTATTTCAATATCTCTATCAGTCCTCCTATCTGTATCTGCATTACTCCCCAAAAAAATGTACGACTCACTTTGTTCGAGTGAGGATACCATTAAGATAAACCACTTTAACTTTTTGATACCATTAAGATAAACCACTCTAACTATTTGCCTGGTTTATACAACACTGCTATGAAGCAGTATATTGTTACAGAAATATGTGATAGTCCAGAAACCATGATTTGTAAACCCTTTGGCTCTGTACTATGGATATCGCAAACTTTTGGCCTTGATTCCATGATCTCCTTCTTTTTCAGCATTCCGATCCTTTCAGGTTCATTGCTGCAGATATCACCCGCCTCCATTCATCTCTCTTGTTAGCCATCTCTTTCCAGTTGGTAACACCAAGTGTTTGCTGGTCTGTCTGGATATTATCTCTTCATCGTCTTCTTGGTCACCCTCGTGGTCGACGACCATTCATCTCCCTGGTGTATACAGTTCTTACTTCTCTGTCATCTTGATTCCATGATAGATACGGTAACTCTGGGAAATATGGGGCTGTTCTGCCTTCCCCCGGGCGTAAACTTGGACCACAAGGAGTAGATCTTTACATGATTTGACATCGGTATGCTCAAACGGAAGTAAATACAGACATGTAAAATATTTCGGTCACACTAGTTTTGTCTTTTGACATTAATAAAGACATACACACACACACACACACACACACACACACACACACACACACACACGCGCGCGCGCACACATACACACACACGCACACCGATACACACACTGACATACACACAGTTAGAGACATACAGCAAGGGAGAAAGAAAGGGATACAAAAACGAAATATAATGTAAAAAATGCCTGAGGTAGAACAAATAAAAGAATGAGAATGGGGAAATAAGAGAGAAAACGAAATATGGGAAAATAGTTGGAATCGAATTTAAACCAATATCCGCAAAGCAAACGAATTTAAAGTGGTATCGTACCATCTTTGCGGGAGGGAAAAAAAGGGGGCGGGGGGGGGGGTGTTAAAAACGTAATTACTTGCTGCCGTTAAGTATAGAGAACTTAAGCCAATGTTCTCCATTCACAATAAAAGCGAACTTACAGTAATATCCACCATCTATGTATGTATGTATGTATGATGTACCCCACCAGGACTACACAAAAGCGATAAATATTCAGTGACACAAAGTACTATCATGCCGATGAGGATCACCCGTGGAGAGGTCCCGGAAACCCCGTTCAGCCGTTTGGCCATCTTTCAGCCCGGCTATAGTTAGGGCCCCCGGAAGAAAAAGTCAGGGTGGGGTTTCAATATAGCTAAAAATTGCGTTCCATAGGCGGGATGACGAGATATAGGTAACCACCATCTATGATATTAGCGAAATTTAACCCATAAGTAAAAGTAAAGATCCCTTTTCACGCCTTTAGGCGCATTGGGCATATATGTGAAGAGCAGACCATCGGCACTAGGTGGGTAATGTGGTCAGCATTACGCCGGTCGTCTTTACTTCCCTAGGACAGCCATCCTGGTACCCATTTTATGCTGGTGCGACGCCCCATAACACGATAAAAATCCATGCAGACAGCAGTGGGTTTTGATCGCTGTACGTTGGAATTTCGAGTCGGACTCGCAACGCCTAAGCCACACAGTTTAACCCATATGTCTCACAAAAGATAGAAAGGAGAAAAAAATTAGTGCACCGAAATCAAGAAACGATGGAAAATTAAAAAAAAAAAAATCCCCTAACCAGTATAGAGGCAAATGTAAACACATTTTCTAATGACATGGTATGATTTTCCAAGAATCCCTGCTCATATGCAAATACACACACACACACACACACACACACACACACATACGCAAATACACACACACACACACACACACAAATACACACACACACACGCACACACGCACAGGTACACTCGCACTACCACTACCAAAACCACCACAACCACCATACCGCACACAAAAGTGAACACTATCCAAATGTAGTGTAATGTATTGACCAAACATGACAGCTATAACAGAATGAAGAATGATCAATGAGAGAAACAGCCTTGTTCATCCGTATGAATCCACTATCATCCACTGCTTCTCCTTCTGCTTAGGGAGTCTTCTTGGTGAAGTGGTCAATCCATTTGCCTAGCGCTTTGGAGGTCGGGAGTTCGTTTTACGACGGTGCCCTTCAGTTCACGAGTGCAATCTTGACAGAGATCCCTGAGGATCGTCACCGGAGCTACGGAAGTCGCGCTTTATGCCACGCTCTCGGCAGAAAGCTATCTGTTCTCCGAAGAGAGACTGAACCGTGTGGGATAAAAACCCCGTGCAGTGAAGTCGATCCTCGCACCTTTACTTAAATTTACCTGCTCCTTCTATCGCGTACAACAACAGAGCCCCGACTCCTGCATGTCAGAAACATCCACAGATTTAAAATTCATCTTTTTATTCTGACTAATCGGTCGTCAAAACAATAAAATGTAATAATATTGTACGAAGGATACTGTTGCGCATTTAATTCTATCAAATTACTTATAAATCCAGCATCCGTTTGAAGTACGGCTTAGAAGGGACTGCCCGGCATAAGCTACACATCAATATTTATATCGGGAGCATGCAGGGATCTCTTTGAAGCTTTCCCGGGACGTATTGTTTTAATACAAAATCAAATCTGGGGATTCTTGATTTTGTTTGATATTTTGTTCCACTTTTTTTAAGCCGGTAGATTTTAAATGCTTTTGTTTCCAGTTCTGTATGTCTTTAGATTTCTTCAATGTTTATTTTTTTTTTTTTTTTTTTTTTTTTTAAACGTGGAGTGAAAATCAAAATAATTGGACTGTGTGACGTGGAATGAGTAACAATTGACCACTGTTCTTCAACTTTTGACATCCGCGGTCCATCTAAAAGCTAACCAAACACAGAAACAAATACAAATATAGATGGCGGTTCATTTCGGTATCACATTACCATTTTCAGCCGATGCCACCTTTTTGGATTCTCTCTCTCTCTCTCTCTCTCTCTCTCTCTCTCTCTCTCTCTCTCTCTCTCTCTCTCCTAACTGTTAAGCTTGACATTTATCACTAAAGTATATGTTTTATCTCATCTCGCATGTTTCCGTCTTTCTACGCAGGCCGGCTAGCCGCTTATGTAAAGCACTACACGTAGTACAAACCCCATTGGTCTGGAGACGACCCCTAGGGATCTATGTACTTAAAACACTCTTGATCCGACCGACTGAGTTCCTGAAATGAATCCCTACCCTTAACAACAGAAGCAAACAGCTCTAACTACCAAGCCAAACTGTTTGGATTTAACGCTATTTCGGCGGATAAGTAAATCATTGTGGCCACAGTTTACAACAGACCATCCAGCCAAAGAGCTTCATAAGATCTAGCCTGTCGCTGACTGTAGTCTATTGCCGGATTTAAAAGTAACGAGAACCACAAGCATACAGCACAGTGAGAAGACACAATGGAACTCACCATTATTGTTATCATCATGGTGTCCAGAATCAAGGGCATTCACTCCAATCATCAGTTTTCCAGAGTTAATTAGCATTGGCGGTGTTTCCTCAGATGATCTTCCACACCGAGGACTTGGTGGAGTTCTATCGGCCAGTCTCGAGTGCTCTCTGGGCGACTGGGAGCCCTGGCATTGAAAACTGCTGTTGCTGCTGCTGTTGTTGTTATGGCTGTGGTGTAGGTGCAGGAGATTGTGGGACAGGCTCTGTCTGTGCTGGATGGGACTTCCAACATCTGCACCGCTAGAGAACATGGCGTTATGGCTACTGGGCTGGGTTGAATTACCGTTACTGCTAGCTAGATTAGGCAAACCTTTGTTATCAACGTTATCGTCGCTGTCTTCTTCTTCGTCGTCCTCCTCGTCTTCGTCGTTGAAGTTGGATCCGCCTCGTTTCAAGTCTAAAATATGACTGACGCTGAAGTTGGGCTTGCTGCCGTAATTCAGCAGGTTGGCATTCTGGTAGGCCTGCTGGAACTTGTCAAAGTTGGAGGGAAATGGGTAGTAGAAACCGTTGTGCTGGTGAATGCTGGTGCTGCTGCTGTTATTGATTCCACTTGCGACGTGGTGGAGGTTATGGTGGTCCTGGGTTGGTGTGGCTGAAAGAGCGTAACTACTCATGATAAACGATAAATTTCATGCAAAAGTTCACTGACACAATGATAACAATGAGCTTCTTTCCGGATCCTCGCCAGGGATTCTCTTCTAGATCTATACAACCATGACAAGGTTTAGTAAAGCTCAGTCACTAGATCGTTTCTATGGTAACTTTCACGGACAATGTCAGTATGGTCTGGATTATTTCAACCATCTCACTTTGGCAAACCTCCTTTTGGTGTAAACTGTATCCTAATCTGTTGAGAGAGAACAAAGACAATATATTATTGGGTTCACAAATTCATGAATAAATTTCCAAATTTGTAGCCTTGCGTCATTTAGTTAACTTTATGTATTGGCCTCTGACCTCTGTTATGGACTTTATCAGTTAACGTGATGTTAAAATGTCGTTATATTTATTAATATTATGATTTTACTGTTTTAAAAATGTTCCCTCCCTATGTTACATGTTTAAAAAGAAAAAAAGGAACAATGGATGTTGACCAACACTTAAAATGTCTGCAGACATTAAAGCAATTTCCTATTTAAAAACTAGGCCATGAATCATTGTGGTTGCCGCAGATTTCTTTTCCAACCTAGTTCTTAAAGAGTGAATTGTACAATTTAAGTTTGTAACCAAGTCTTTCTTTGTCTACCTCTTCCCCTCTTTTCCCCTCCTGAGCCCTTTAGTATTGTTTTTGAAAGGCTGTTAGATCTTATTGCATGTCCATACCATTGCAATTTACACCCCTTTCCCTGTAATTAAAAGAGGTTTATAGTTGCCAGTGGGCTGTATAATCATAGGCCGAACCTCTTCGTTTGTAGTGTAGGCTCTGTATGATATGACAAGCATTTTTCTGAAACATCGCATTACAGTCATAAAAGTAAAGATCCCTTTTCACGCCTTAGGCGCATCGGGTATGTGGGAAAGAGCATCCCATATTTTTTTACAGACCAATCGGCACTGGATGGGTAATGTGGTCAGCATTAGGCCGGCTATCATTACCTTTCCAGGACAGCCATCCTGGTACCCAATTTAGGCTGGGTCGACCTGCGACGTCCCATGCCATGATAAAAATCCACGCAGCCAGCAGTGGGTTTCGATCGCGGTACTTTGGATTACGAGTCGGACTCGCAACGCCTAAGCCACGGACGCCGCACATTACAGTCATACAACCACAACAAAACGTATTACCCGACACAAAACTAGTAGTTTAAATACTGGGTTGCTGTCGATGTGATATCTAGAATGATCGGTGGAAAAATGTAAAAATACAGCCCGGAACCTCAGCGAAAAATCATTCACACAGAAACCAACATTTCGACCAATGATTGTATCAGCGATCACAGAAGCAGGACTTCGTTGCAGCAATCTCAATAAAAAATATAAAACCCAAAGAAAAGTTTATTAACAGCAATCTAAACTATCTAGCAATAAAGTCATTTTAATAACAGAAAAACGGCAACATTCTGCATTTTTATTTCATGTAATCCAACTAATGTTTTTACTGATTTTTATTAAAGTTACTTTATGTTGTACGTGTAATAACACTTTTTGTTGGAAGATGCGATTGTTGTCAGCAGGTATTTCATTTCATCTAGTTTCCTAGATAATTCCCACGCCCCCCCCCCCCTCGCCTTCCCTGCACTTCTCTCTCCCTCCACGTGTGTTTGCGTGTGTATGTATGTATGTGTGTTCGGTCATTGAACATATGGATGTAGCGCAGTGGCTAGCCGCTTTCATGCCGACAGGAAGGTCTTAAGATCGAATCTCCACAAAGGCAACTTTTTTTTAAAAGTAGCTCTACGTTCGCCTTGAACCAGTCTAAAAGAGTAAAAGGAACTCAGTGAGAAGTAATAGTGATCGATACCATTACTGATCCTTTTAGAATAGTGCTCTTTTTTATGTTTGTAGAAGATGCCCTCAGAATTCAATGTCAAGATCTCCGTATTAATTCTGGTGGGGTGGGGGAGGGGGAGGGGGCGAGATTATTTGGCAATGGGAAGAGGTCAGTTGGTGGGAGGGGCAATAGACACACTGTACATGCCGTCGTCATCAAGTGCCTTGCCAGCTTGCGTACGCGTTCATGCAGATCCACAAATCTTGGTCTTTGGTGTTGTGGATCAATTCCAGTGATGATATTCCACCATGCTACTGTCTTAAGCTATCCGCTATCATTTATCTTTGCCTCTGCCTCTGCTTCTTCTATCAGTGATCGTTCCAGTTGTCACGATATTTTCTAATGCTCCTTCTCTCAACAACATGATAAAAAATGTCTGTCTCTTAATTGTTGTATATAATGTTCTACTTTCATAAGAAATTTTCAGGTAATCATTGGGTACTTAATTTATAACTTACCCCTGACGTCACGACAACGTCACGGGAGACATTCCCAATAAATTGTAGGGTGTTCAGGTTGTAGTTTCTCGCGATTTATCTACAGCCAAGTTTAGGGTTAGGGTTAGGGTTAGGGTTAGGATTAGAAGACACTAGATAAACACTCAAAAAAAAAAAAACACACACACACACACAAGAGCATACTTCCACCCCTTTAAATAATGGACTGTCACGTCAGCTGTGGATTTCCCACGGGGATTTCGTGTTTGGGGTACGTTATAAATTAAGAACCAATCATTGTTAGTTAGTCTGGCAGTTCAATGTATTCTCAACATTCTTCTCAAGAACCTCATCTCATTTGTCCTTCAAACTCTTCATATTTTGCTTGTTCACATTCCAATATTCACCACCATATAACAGAACACGCTCGAAATAACATTTCAGTTTTCGTTTCCTGACTGCAGATGTCGCCATGACAAAAGGTTGCAAAGAATCGCTTCGCGTTGTCTACCTCTTGTCTCTTATTAACAGAACTTTCCAGTGGTCACAAAATGTTCCAGTTTACTTCTATGCATGACCAAAACATTCTGTTTCTTTCAGATCACCTCTTAAAAAACCAAATGGGTTGCTCAGTTAGCTTCTTCTGAAATTATAAGGAATTTTCTGGGGGAACACATCTCCAACGGGAGCTGTCGTGGTGGAGCGGCTTGACTTTCGCCTGCGGATGGGACAATCATAGGTTCGGGTCCTCACGGAGCTGATCTTTCTTTAAAAAAATGACCTTGGCTTTCAAGTCGACCCAGCCTTGAGTGGGTACCAGGTAAAGTTCTGATGGGAAGAAAAGACGAACGGCCGGACGTTGACCACATCTCCCTCCATGTGCCGATTGATCCATACATATAGGTCTAGTCCCACGTGCCCAACAGTCTAAAGGTCATTTACTTTTATGTAGTCTTTCGTGTAAAAATAACATCTGTGGAATTAGATGTCTGAGAAAAGCCGCCAACTTAACCACCCAAGACAAAGAAATGATATTATCAGACAGACTGTAGGAACAACATAATGCAGAAATTCATTGAGAAACAGGAGATCTAAGGTTTAGTCATTTAGAAAGAATGCAGCCAGTACAACTACCAGTCGGCTCTGTGGCTAAGTCGATACCAACGCTTCGTAATGCCGGGGTGCAGGGTTCGATCCCATCTGCGATCCATGCGCCTTGCGTTGGTTTCGACAGTGGTATCAGGGGACCGACCGTACAGAAAGAAATGGCAAACTACTGGACGTAAATTTGCCCAAAGAAACCACACAACAGCCAGGGGCTGTTGGGGTTGGTTCTGTAACGTCCTGTAAAGGATACGCAACTAACCTTAACAACTACCAACGCATGAAAAGATCTGAAGTGAAAGAAATGGGTTACCCTAGGAGAACATAGATTGACGACATTAAAGAGCGTCTACGTCGACACGGAATGTCAACAGCTATTGCTGCATATCAAGCAATGGATCGAAAACTGTTCCTTCCCACAACGCTAAATATCAGAAGTGGTAATTGATGAAGATGACGACTTTTACGTACACCTTTGAGGCCAGAAAAAAATGTTTCAGTTTGTTTAATAATTGTCCAACTTTTACTATCGCTCATATCATCATGTAGCAGTTCCTTTGCAGAACTTCATACTTCTTATCACGGTCTGTCTGAAAGAAACTCGGTCTCTCGCCAGTTCTCCCGCCTCATGCACTTTCATACTCAATGAGTCACTTATATCCTGTGCACATCTTTGTGTCGGTCGGCCCCTGCCCCTCTTTCCTTATGCTAATGTTTGTTCCAATCCGTCGTGGCGCTTGATACGACCAAAATATTTCAGCTTCCGAGACAGGATGCTGTTTATTAGCCAATATTCCTTGATGTTCAGATCTTTCAAGATGTCAGTATTTCTCCTCTTCTTTGTCCAACATATTATGAGTATCTCAATAGAATTTCAGCTCAAAAGCCCCCATTCTCTTTTTTAAGGACTGGGAGATAGTCCACGACTCACATCCGTATGTTGCTACAGGAAATATGAATACTATAAAAACTCAAATTTTGTCTAGAGTAACTATTCTTTATCTATTGTGTCCAATCAAGTATAAAATAATTGTTTAGGACTCAACGTGGAGTGGTAGGGCTAGTGCTTAAGCATGGACTTTCAAAGCTGTTTAATCTTTGCATTGCTATGCCCATCCTCCTTTTAATTTATGTCAAACAGTCTTTAGTGCTATGGATTATAGAGCCTAGATATTCAAAGTTTGTGACATTTTCATTTCTTTATCATCGCCCATATTGTGATATTAATTTACAGAATATGTATATTCTTCACGTTATGTCAAATCTCATTCAATCATTCAAGTGTCATCTTGCTTGTCAAAGTCAGTTGCAATAGACCCTCATAACGTTTTTGTTTCTAGCTGCACAATCTGACACACTGCTGACCTTTCATGTCAATCTGCTTGACTGTAGTCTTTTTATCTCACTTCCCAAAGTGTGTGATTGCCTCCCCCTCTTTATATTTCCTAGTTACAAGTGTGTGATTGCCTCCCCCTCTTTTTATCTCACTTTCCAAAGTGTGTGATTGCCTCCCCCTCTTTATATTTCCTATACACGAGTGTGTGATTGCCTCCCCCTCTTTATATTTCCTATACACGAGTGT